CAACTAAATTAGGCCATTTTAAGCCTTATCGCGCGTAAAACATTATTGCACTTGTTTGCCGCTGAATTGAGCTGTTTTTAACTTTATCACACCGGGAAAAGTTTTCTGCCTGTTTGCAGCTAGTCACGCTGGTTGTCGCTATATCTCATTCAAAACAACGTTTTTTCTCTTTTCTTGCTAAATTACGCTTTCGTCAGCGTTATCGCACCGAAAAGGTTTTTTTCCCTGGTTTTCTCTGAATCAAGCAGTTTTTAGCTTTATCTCAACAAGAGCTTGGAGCCTCATCTCATGGAACACTTTGCCTTTTTGTAGCCAAAGTTTCATGATTCTAGCTATATCTATCTCATTCACTTTATCTCACTCGTGTTTTGAGTGAGATAAAGTTGAAGTTAGCATGATTAGCTGCAAACGGGCAGATAAGCTTTTCCCAGTCTAAAAAAGCTCAAAACAGCGTAGTTTAGCCACAAAAAAGCAAAACCGTTGTCAACATTGCGATAAATATAAAAACAGCGTGATTGGCTAGCAAGATACCACAACCTCCTCTCAGTGCACTTAAGCTAAAACAGCGTAACTCAAGAGCAAAGAAGGAAAAAAACACGTTTTCAGTTCCAGAAAGCTAAAAACTGCTTGATTTAGCTGCGAAAAAGGAAAAACCGTTGTTTGGTTAACATTAGGGTGATTAGCTGAAAACAGGCAGAAAACCTTTTTTGGCTGTGATAAAGCTAAAAACAGCTCAATTCAGCGGCAAACAAGTGGAAAAATGTTTTTGGTGAGATAAATGTGAAAAAGACGTAATTTAGTCGCATGGAGGCTTAAGACTCAGTCTTTAGTAGGATCGAACTGTAAACAGCGTTAATTTAGCGACAAACAAACAAAAACATATTTTCGGTGTCACAAAGCTAAAAAAAGCGTAGCTTAGCAATAAAAAAAGAAAAACGGTGCTTTTCATGAGATCAAGCCCAGAACAGCCCAATTAGCTGCAAACAAACAAATACATGTTTTCGGTGCCAAAAAGCTGACAAAAGCAAAACTTGGCCACAAAAGTCACCAAAACGTTGTATTTAGTGAGATACAGCTAAAATCAGCGTGATTCATTCACGATGGCTCCTCTCAATCACATGCAGAAGGGTCACTCTTCCTACTTCACCATTTTAAAGATGGCAGCAGGTAGCTCGACCATTATCCTGCCTCTCCCGCCAAATTAGCCATTTGACCAGATTACCTCGACTAACACGACCGAATTGGCCGCCTCGGTCAACACAGTCGACAGAACTGTCTCGTCCGACACGTTTGACGGAACTGCTAAAACACTTCTAAAGCTAGTAGAGCTCATTACCAGAAATCACGGACATTTTGCGCCGGTGTCACAGCAGATTTGGAACCCCCCGCGGATTTGGACTCCCCTGTCCATATATACGTTAGCGGATATGGATCCACCTTCGCAGATTTGGACCCCCTCTATCAAACTTTCCTTTTGAGCATCGTTTGTATCGTATTTGGTAACTGATTCTATTTGCAAGCTTTCTGTCGATGTTCTTTTCAATCACAACACAACATTCCTCAATAAAGGTGCAGAAAAACAGCCATTTCGTTCCAATTCTGCCGCATTTATTATAGCGAGTGGTACAGTATACGCAAGAATTAGATGCGAACAAATTACTGCATTCGAATTATCGAAATTGTTACAAAAGATCTTTGCTTCTTCTGATGCGAATCAACATTGATACGAAACGTCATGACAATAGTGGAGACTATCGCGTCCAGTCACAAAAATAAGTCAGTCTGGTGTTCTAAAATAATAACCCTCTTATTGAATCTAGTAGTGTTCGACTATCGCGGAAAAGGTTCAAAAACGACTTTTTTCCAAACATTAAACTAAATGCTTGCCCATTTTCCCTCGGTCGAAAGAAACATTTACAGCTGCCAGTTCGTATGCATTAACGATACGAATGTTTTGAATTAAAAACATACTTTAGTACGCACTGGAACGTAAAGTATCATCTATTTTTACTAGAACGATAAGGATGATGTTTTCACTCAGTTTTGTTGCGCCGGGAGGTCCATATGTCTACGTCCTAACAAAAGTGGGGACTATTACATCGAACTCAATCTTACTTTCTAATTACTTTCTAATTTTAACGGAAAGACGAAAGACTGCTTTCGAAGCGGAAAAGCGGCAAAGTAAGTACTTAATGCCTGTTTTAAAGGTGCTATATTCCAAGGCTTGTCTTTAGCCGACCGTTTCACCTCTTATTTATTTTCTCATGGGAGATAGAGTACCTTATCAAGTGGAAAGGATGGCCCATGTCATCATGTACCTGGGAGCCTGCCCTCCATCTATCTGTTACCACAACAACATAATTTTTCAGTTCATGCCAAAATGTAAAGAAAGCTTAAAAAAGTTGAAGTTAATATAGTTCCTTTAGAACAAGACATGCTTTTTAGTTGACCTCCAGTATTTAAAACACCTTGTCTTTTTATTATAAGAATAATAAACATAAGCTGAACAATTAGTTAATTTGTTAAGATCGTTTTAAACGAATTTTTTTTGTCCTAATAAATCTGTTTTCTGAATTCCTTCTAGACTTTATAAAAAGCCTCCACAGCCCTCAGAAAGTGAAATTGCCTCAGCATTTAATGGCTTTTATCTGGCAGTCAAGTCACCTTTAAAATAAAATGCTGTCAAAGTGCAGCACACTTGCAAAGTTAACATAGAGCGTGATGTCTATCGATATTTTTTTAATTACAAAGGAATATCGTCAAGGGATTCCAAATACACCATGCTCAGCTTAGAGAATTTTAACAAGCTGTCTCCACCCTATTATTGGTGGTATGTACCTGGACCCTCATGGCCAGGGAAAGGCCTATGATTTTCCTTTAAAGATGAAAGCTTACCTTGAAAAGGCTAACACGTCAACATTTTCATTCTCGACAGGATTATTTAACCGAACAAAGCATTTGTGAAAAAGACTTGTTACAGAAGTGTGTTTCAAAGCTGGACTCCAAAGAATATACGACAGTGGGTGGGTAGTGCGTTGTGTTTTTGATCTGAAGCAAAAGTGTCTATTAAGGTGTAGGAGGGATCTTCTCGTGAGGGAGAGGAGGAAGGGCGCTAGCAACTTTCTGACGTTTGTAGATAGGGGCTAAGTGCACTCCAGTCACTCAAGGATCCTCCCCCCCTCCCCCCTTGCGGCTGCGCACTAGCTTAAAAGATGTTCTTGGGACCTAGAGCTTTTGCTTTCTTGTGCATTACAGTCGATGTAAGACAGAAATCCATGGGAGACCGAGTTTGGTTCGGATTAGCGAAAGGTTCGAGTTAGCGCAGGTTCATGTCATTGGAATTCCACTTAACTTAAACCTCAACTCAAGTGAAGACTAAAGCATCTTTGGTTATTTTCTCCTATAGATGCAGCAAGCCATGATATCAACTCAGAAAGTGTGCTTTGTTACTTAAGTGCATTGCGGAATTTCAAGGAGCTAGCGTATCAGTTTCGTCGTAACATTCCAATGGATCAGCTACCAGGCAAGTATCCTAGAAGTCTGTCTTTATTTTTATCACTCTAATGATTACATGCAGGTGGGATTGGGAGACCCAAAGTTCGGTTACCAACATAAAAAAAACTGGGACAAAGTTACAGAGACAAGATACCCATCGGTTAAACGTATTCATTGGTGAAAACATAATAAAAATGGACGCAGCAGTCTATAACACGGCATGCGATTTAGAGCGCTTTTCCATTGAGAGTCGTAAAACCAAAATCGAAGTTATCCTGACGACCGGTCAGAAGAAATAAAAAAACCTCAAGAGCCAATCCCGGCGATAAAGACGAGATTGGTTTTAGTTTTGCATATGATTGGTTGAGAGAAAGGTGCGAGTTTTCTGGACCAATCACAAAGCGATCTCGGATTACTCTCCACTCTCAATGGTAAATTGCTTTAATACACCGTCGAAGTACAAGCATGATCCATTAGCTGTCCAGTTGGAGCTGAAAACCAATTACGTTCTAGAATTTTGATATCGGTTTGATTACAGATGAAAACATTATGTTAAACTGAAAGGTAACCCTTTGTGCGAATGTCCTTTCTGATCACAGAGACAGTGCATAGGCGTGCTGATTGTTATTGGGGCAAAAATTGCCGAACTCAGAGGACTAAACCACTTCATGCAAGGTAAGATTCTTGTTGGCAATAGTCATGCTAAGTTATGCTCTCATTTCAGTGTCTGGTTGGAGGACAAAGTGTTGATATTCAGCGAACTCTGTGTTCTTTTTGTTTTCAGTCGCTTCAATTACATTTGCGAACAGACAAGATTTACATAGCTGAGATTATCTCCATCAGCAAGAGGTTTGCCTTACAGTTTGTCAGTAACTATTACAATAAATAATGCATGGTGCATAATAGACCACACTCATCAAATTGCAAACATATCCCAGCATACTTTTTCAAACTGATATTGTCTTCGAAATACCTCATTTGTGTGTTATTTAATGTTTATTTGAATAAAAAAGAGATGAACAATTTTTACAAATTTGGTCAAAATTCACTAAGTAATTATCAAATATGACAATGCTACATACATATTTACAAAAGCTTTTAAAAATGATGTTCCAAAAATCTTTGTTCCTTAAGACATAGTTGTTGATTTATTTCAGTGCTCACAAAAGTTTTCAAAAGACGATGAAATATAACAAACTCAAAGTTACAAACAACGCCCGGCTTTGAAGTTATTAAGCAATTAGAAAAATAGAAGACTTGGTTGCCCGCATTGACGATGATCTGTGGAATGTAAAAGAGAATCCGAGTCAATGTCACAATTTTAAGTCAAACGAAAGTACAGGTAGTACTACATTTAACACAATGCTAAATTATTGACAGGTTAATTTTTGGCATTTACTGAACAGCACTACTCTTACTTCCGTATATTGTGTTACTGGCAAACACCTTACGAGGTCTTACGACAATGTTTGAACTCAGGGAGCTTATAACATGCATTTTACAGTTTATATTTTTCCACGGGAAACAGTGCTCGCCATAATAAGATGTAGTGGGCGACGGTAAGGATATGGACTCTTTAGACAATTGGAAAAAAGATTGGGCGAGTACTTTGCAAAAGTACTAAAGCTGAAGGGTAGACTGGCAATTCTAAGCGGAAGATTTCACCACTTCGCACAGATGTGGACTGTTAAATATGTGCAATCGTATTTTACAAGTTCTCTTCTTCATACCCTTTAGCTGACTTAGTGGAGGCTTTTGAATTTGATTCAACATTCATGGCTTTAACATCCTTTGCTTTGACTGGAAAGTTTTCAACTTCAAGACATCCAGCGTTTTCCAACAGAGTGTCAAACCATGATGGTTGAAGGTCAAAATAATCTTTGCCTAGATAAAAGATAAATGAAGTTTTGTTTTATGATGGCAAGGCAGAGAATTTCGTTTCCACATACAGATACCTGAGATTTTTGCTTACTGAACCAAAAGTGGATTAATTTCAGCGAGACATTTATTCTAAACCGCCACAAAAACCGTAACCTTGAGCACTTGATAAGGGAGCAAGCTAACTCTTTTCAATTCAAGCTACCTCCTCCAAAAAAGGGTTGATCTTACTGGATAAGTCACGAGTCTTGAATGCAGCAGAAATCATGACAGTTTGAGCTTAAACAAAGTTGGAAGTAGAGATATGTGTTGGTTTTGTTACGCCTTTGGCTTTCTTGGAAAAGAAGTTCTCCTCAATACCGGAGGAATCTGTGTTATATTTGTATGATGTAACACCTCATTAAGTTGCTCATTTTATGAGAATCAGGCGAGTACATTGCAAAAGTAAAGCTGAAGGGTACATCGACAATTTTAATTAGCTTAACTGGTTCGTCACTCTCAGAAGACAGTACTTCGCACAGATTTGGACCATCACTTATGTAGAATCGTATTTTAAAAGTTTCCCTCTACAAACCTTTCTTTATGGCTTCAAGATCTTTTGCTTTAACTGGAACGTTTTCAACTTGAAGACATCCAGCGTTTTTTGATAGAGTGTCAAACCATGACGGTTGATGGTTAAAATAATCTTTGCCTGGATGAAAGATAATTAAAAAATCAAAGCCGATGGAAGAACATGTTATCAACCCTAAGCATCCAACTGTTTTGTGACTTGTAAGAACTTCATTGCTTTCGTGCAGATGTGGACTGTGGTGGAATCGTAATTTACAAGTTTCCTTCTTCGTACCTTTAGCTTGCACAGTGACGGCCCTAGAATTTGATTTAACATTCCTTATGACTTCAAGATCTTTTGCTGTGACTGGAAAGTTTTCAACTTTGAAACATCCACCGTTATTGGATGGAGTGTCAAACCATGATGGTTGAAAGTCAAAGTAAACTTTGCCTAGTTGAGAAAAAAAACGAAAAGAAAGAAGAAGAAATAAAAGTCAAACTGCATGGAAGAACTCTTAATAAAATCGAAGGATTATTGAAAAGTTGTCAGGGTAAAATTGTTCTTCTTGTCTTGAGGATGGAAAAGGTATTTACAAGTTATGCCTTTAGGAAAATGGGAAACGTGCTTTTAAGTTAGGCCCGTAAATGCTGACTTCGTTGAGTTTGAGTCATGTTTCATTTTCCATAGTTTGTGAAAGAACCGATTTATTTTCATTGATAGGTGATGCAGACCCCTCTTTCCTCTCCAATTACGTCCCCTAACGCTTTCCTGGAACATAAAATGAGTTCATAAAGACGAAGCCTTCGTATCAACCGCGTTGTCACCACTCGGTTGATACGACGCCATCCCACTTTACGTACTCACCATTAAACGTTTGTGGTTTGCTCCGGGACTCTTCTGCTTCTGTTTTACTCTTCTGGACAGTAAAATTAAGGTCCCCCTCGAGCTGGGCAATGTTCTTCCTTGCGTCCTGTAGCTTTTTGTTTATTGATGCCATGTGCTTGACAAAATCAGATTGAGTCGTTTGCACAGTTTGTTTTAGCTGGGACAGTTTTTCCTTAAGATCAGCAATGTCTTTGTCATTTCCAAAGAGAGTTTGCTTAAGAAAGCCAATCTCCTTCTCTTTAGCTGTTAAAACACAAATTAATATTCAAATTACTTATTATAAAAGTTTGAACAAATTCAAAGTCTGAGTGATAAAGTTAACCGGGAAAACGCAAAAGACGGAACTATCTATTACGGAACGAGAAGCAGGAGGGAGGGGGGATCGGCAACTCTTAGTTAAATGGGTCACTAGTGCGCGCGCACTTTTCTTTTCATGCATGCGTGACCACATAAAACTAACCGTTAATCTGTGTTTCAAGGTGGATGATTTTCTGTGTTAGTTGTTCCTTTTCTCTTGCAGACTGGAAAAAAAATTGCCAAAAATGTTACCTTTTTAATTAACGAAATAAGAAGAGAGCAAAAAAGCTGGGATACAAAACATTATCAACTTGCAATCCCGCGTGGAGATAGTGGAATATCTAAGAGTGGCGTCATAATCTAAGAATTTCATTTGCGCGCGCTTTTTCATCTCTCCACGAAGAAAAAGCTTTTTAAACTCAGTTACCTGAACGCCTTTAATGTAAAAAAGTTCCAGTTGCGTTAAATGTTTCGTCAATGTTGGACAGACTTTGAAATGAGCTACTTTTGGAGGGAACCGTTTTACAATTGAAATTAAGCAATTACGACCTATTTTCACAGCTTCTGTATTGAATCAGGTCTAGTTGCGCGTTTGTTATGAAAATGACTTTAGCTTCTTTTTTTCATGCTCTTTCGGATAACAAATTGTAACTTCTAAAACAACTAAACGTACTTCTTTTTTACGAAAAAAAGGAGGTGTAATGATAGGAAACGCCCACCTCATTAGCCATGATTCGTGCCCCGTGTGAGGCCTCCAAAGGTTCATGATAATTCTCAGCAGAACGATTTGTGACATTGACTTCTTCATTAAATATTCTTGCAGAACAGGATTTCTTCACAGACTCTTTGTCACCTGACTAATTTTTGTTCATTTTTTAACTGATATCTTCATTCAAACAATCTGATAAACAAGAAAAATGCATTCTCTTTCACGGTGCTTTAGCATGAACCGAGCCCTTGATGCGAAACAAAGTTTCGATTTGTTTATGACTAGTTGCATGGTAACGTGTTTATGCCGTCACTTTATGACATCACGCCGGATTTAAGAGGCTGTCTCTCTTATTTCCACCCGGTCAATTTTGCGTCAAAAATAATTTTGTCTGTAACTCTGTTAGCAGAAAGACTTTACCTAGGAAAGAACTAAATTAGATTTGGTTTGATTCGAAATAATTTTCTGACTGCATTACGGGCCATAATTATTTCCCAGTCCGTAGGGACCGTCGCAACGTCTCGAAAATTGAAAAATAGGCATATTTTGTAACGTTGTAAAATATTTGATTCGCATAGTTAAGCCACAGAATTTATATCAGATTGCTTAAAAACCTTTCTAGTTTTCCAAGAAAGTTAGAATTTGCCCTCTCAACATATCTGAAAAGGCGAATTTTAGCATATTCTGACCACTAGAAATCGCCATCGGCCGATGGCCGTAAATAACCTTGATTTAGACGCTAAGTTTTGGGATTTGGGACCTGGTTGACGATTCTATCCTACACAGCCGTTAAGTTTAGACCTTTATAGGCAAAAATATGCAAAAATCCCTGTAAGTTTTCGATTTTTCAAAAGTTATGACCGTTTGAATCAGCACATGTACGAGCATTGGCGATTTTTTCGCCTACACCAAAATCGAACCACTAGAGCAGATTTCGTCATAAATACAGCTTACCCGCTTTGCAGCCCGGCTTCATGGCTCACTTCAGAATTTTTCTAATAACCAAATTGGTGAAATCCATGATAACTTCAACAAATAGCTAGGTATTGCCTTCGAAAAGTAGGCGGCATCCATCGTGATTCGTGGTATCAAAACAAATGCCGGAATTGGACACATTTCGCGGTGAATCACCCATTTAACATCGCTGCAGAGCTGAATTTTTTCCAAAATCAGTTTATAAACTCTCCATGTCTGGAAGCTGAGGAAGAAATGAAGGTTTTAGGCTTCTGAAGAGAAGAAATAATCGCTTTAATTTAGATTCAGTTCGATGTTATACTGTTCTCACAAAGGTCCGCACAAAAGAGGAGACCGCTGATAGCTTGTGCCGTACGTTGTGCCATATGGTTTTGTTTTGTATCCCAAAGTAATATTTGGGCAGAAAAATTTTGGATGAAAAGAATAAATGCTTTTACCTGGAGTTTGATATCATATAATCAATAAATCAATTTCAAATATCCTGAGCTTGCTTCTCTCGGTTCCGCGTCGATTGTGTCCACAGAACAGCAACCTGTCAATAGCCGGAGAAATCATGGGTTTATGTGAAATTTCAGATATTCCTCGCTTCCCAAACTGGTGAACTGGACTTTATGATTACTCCAGCAAATACCTCCAAAATTCAGTGGTCGGCAACTGTCGATAATCTTCTTTGACTCGTTGTTGCGAACTAAACTCGAAAACTAAAGCCATGTTTCGTGCTTAATGTCCCGTTGAAACTTTGGATTGCAGCTGCATTCTCTTCAAGAATCAGTCATAGAACTCCACTTTTAAGTCTATGTGTCGAAGTTTGGCGTTTTGGAATTTAAAGCTGAACGATTGCACTATCGCGCATAATAGAGGTCCACATTAATCATTGCGGGTGAACCCGCTGACCCTTTATTTTTTTTTTGGAAGGCCTGCAAGTGTAGTATGGCATGCAAGTGCTTTTTCGAAACCAGAGAGGCTTCAGTCTGTAGCGAGTCTTCAGCGAGGTTGTTAAAGCTTTCATTGGACAGAGGATACGCATTGACGAAACGCCCAGTGAAGGGAACAACAGCTGCAGTAAGAATAGTAGACGAATCAAAGAACACTCTCTGTGTAAATAAGATTGAGCATTTTAGTAGCTTCCACAACTTCGAATATGGAGATATCGGTCTGAGAGTTTGGAAATGTTATGGCATCGGTAAAGGGAAGTACATTCCATATGACGTAATTTATATCAAGCACCAAGGTCAAACGTCCCTCCAAACCATAGAATCTCAAGGGTTTTATGATCCTCCTGAAAAACGTGTGGTCAAGCGTCGTTCAAAGGGCAGCAAGGAAACAGAGAGTACAACGCCATTGTTTGAATGCTCTGTGTTTGGATGTGTTGAAGTGTTCGAAACCTTTTCGCAGCTGGAGCTGCACCTGGATGTTGGAAAGCATACGATCAGCAGGTTAAAGCCAGTATGATGCAATCAAAAGGGACTGGGCCCTTAAGTTCTCGTCGATAGATACCGCTGGTATCAAGTGTTCGAGCTGTTCGTTAGATTCTAGTACACCACTCACTTCTCCCGTGGATACTTCGCCGCACTCGTCTTTACGAGTGTTTAAAGAATGGCTACTCCGTGTTCAGAGTGCAAGCGATTACGAACGCAAAGACTCCGAAAACAAAGTAACTCCTTAGAACTTGAAGGGTGATGGCTTATGCGGCTAGCATTTAAAATTTTGCCATTTTACCGCTAACGGTTAGTTTCTTTGCATTGTTTTAAAGTGAAATTTTTACGGTTAGGGTTAACGACTAACGGCTAAAATTCGTCGATTTCATACGCCTGACAGCTTTTTTTTTTGCCGTTTTACTTCGATTAAGTGCCTTCCTTCCAATAATCTTCCATTGTCTTTTAAACCGAAATTTGATAAAAGCATCGAGAGAGTACGAACATATCTTCGGACCGAGTAAGCCTCGTGTACAACTACACGGGAATTGCTCCGTTCTTCCGCAACCACTTCTTTTGTAAAGTCAGCGGGTTTAAATTCAAGTTTTTGAGGCATGTTTGAACTCTACCAACTAGCAACGAGATGGTTTTGTATTTGCTTGCTTTTGTTACCCTTACTGGATCCTACAACGCTATGGTGGCGTTTTCAGTCGTGTTTGTGCTCATGGACGTTCACCTTAAGGGCTTAATGCGTCTTGTTGTACTGGAATGTGTAGGTCGTAAAAGAACAGAGGAAGGCTGCGGCTTTCTTGTCATTAGCGTCAGATTTGCATCGTGTATTGGACCAGTCATTATAGGTAAATAGTACTTTGTGGATAAGAGTAGTTTTTAGTCGACTGCTAGCCTTTTTTATTCAGAATGCTGCAAGACACACGCTTCTCCACCTGCTGGAAGATTTGAGACTAGTCGGGAAGAAGTTTGTTTTGCCTGGAGTCAAGCACTAGTAGTTAGGTGTGGGTGGGTTTACGATAGACACTTGTCTCTAAATTACCCTGAACCCCTCTAGACACATTTAAATCAAGAAAGGGCAAATGTCTATCCTTTTCACGTTCAAGGGTGAATTGGATCGACGGCTCTACTGAATTCAAATGCGACAAGAGGCGCTCCGCTTCATTTCCGGATACCGCAGAAATAACATCATCGACATATCGTTTCCAGAAAAAGGGGTTTAACCGGTGAAGTGGCTAAGGCCCTTTGTTCCACGTCTTCCATTACCATGTTAGCAATGACAGCAGAAACAGGCGAACCCATAGCTGTACCAAAAACTTGTTGATAGTATGTGCCGTTATATGTAAATTGCGTGGTTTTGAGGCAAAAAGACAGCAGGTGAATAATATCCTCCACAGGCAAAGAAGTTCTTTGTCCTAGGGAAGCATCTTCTCTGAGTCTTTCCTCCGCAACCTTAACGGCAAGATCAACTGGGATTTTAGTGAAGAGCGAAACAACGTCGAAAGATACTAATTCTTCACAAGCGTCAAGAGTTTTATCTCTTATGAAATCCGTAAATTCGCAGGAATTTTTGACAGTGTAATCAGTATTCCCAACAACAGGCGACAAAATTCTCGCAAGATAACCAGAAATTGCATAAGTCGGAGAATTAACAAAAGAGACAATGGGTCTCAAAGGAATTCCCGGTTTATGAATTTTAGGTAAGCCATAAAAACGTGGACATAAGCCGTCACTACTGTATAACATTTTGTACGTAGAGTCACTAATTCTGCCAGCTTTTTTCAAATCAAGCAACATTTTGTTTAACTTTCTTTGAGTTTTACTGGTTGGATCAGAGTTTAAGACAGCATACGTACTCTTGTCATTGAGCAGAGACAAAGCTTTGTCGTGATATTGCTGTTTGTCCATAACCACAACACAATTACCCTTGTCAGCAGATAATACGAGCCTGTCCGGATCCTTTTTGAGAGTTATAAGCGCATTGAAAACATCCTTTTGAATGTTTTTGGGAGGAGGTTTAGCACGCCTGAGTACTCTACTTACTTCTGCTCTTACCAAATGCCTACGATCGTCGTCGAGTTGAGAGATACTCTCCTCAACAGCGGCGACAATTTCGGCGGTCGATATTTTGCGAGGAGCAATAGCAAACTTTAGACCCTTCTCTAAACCACTCCGTTCCAGCGCGGATAATTCCTTGGAGGAAAGGTTCATGACCCATTTATCTTTCAGAGATGAGCCTGAATTAACAGGAGACCTCTTACTGAGCAAGTGACGGAGTTTTCTGTCATGTTTCTCTCTCTGTTTGGTAAACGTCTGCAGTTCTTTCGAAATGCAAAACTCCTCGACCCAGGAAGTTTCGGAGTTGTTAATCAAAGCAGAGAGTTCACTGAGTGAACGAGAGAATAACGTACGTAACCGCAGTATAGTAACGCTCTTGATGAAAGGGAACCAGCGACTGGTTTTGCTGTTATTCCTTACATTTGAATCGCCACAACGTTAAAGTTGCTCAAAAAGCTTTTGAGACTTTGGGGCATATTTTCGCCAAACCAAGGGATCCTGTCACGAAAGAACAACGAACTGACGCCATTTATTCTATTCCTTGCAATGACTGTGATAACGAATACATCGGACAGACCAAACGCCAGTTTGGTACACGGTTAAAAGAGCACCAAAAAGCGGTTTTTCTTTGCAAAAAGGAAAATTCAGCTTTATCGGAGCATACTTGCCTAACCAACCATACAATTGGGTGGGATAATTCTAAAATTATCACTACTAATCGGCGTTACCACCAGACTTTAATATATGAAAAATACTT